TGGTGCGGCGCCCAGGGAGCAGCGTGGGGTTAAGGGTCATTGCTCAGGGAGCCATAGTGGAGGCAGTGGGACTGGAACTCAGAACCTGTGGATTCTATGGTCTATGCCCTGACTGCTAGGCCGCCCCTCCCCTACTGTTTGCTGTTAGATCCTGTTATTAAAAAGCAGCATCATTCAGAAATATAAAGTTAAAGTTTGCTGTAAACATAATAAAATTGGTTTAATTTATTAACATCATATATCAGAAAACCTTTAATTTCAGGCTTTAAGCAGCAGAGAAAAATCAAACTACTAAATGTTATAAAAACAAAAATACAAAAAAAAAAGAAGAGAATAAAAGAGACAAGAAAGCTGAAGACATTTAAAAACACGCTGAGAAGAAGATTAAAATGTTTCTGAAATCAATGACAGGAAGTTAAAATGTTTGAGTGAAACTAACAGAGAAACCAAACCATCATCATCATCATCACCATCATCATCATCATCACCATAATCATCATCATCATCACCATCATCATCATCATCCAGAGGTCAATCCTCGGTGACTCCGCTCTCTCCACTCGCCTGCAGTGAGAATGAAAAGTTTAGCTAATTCTGAAGAGGAAGACGCTGAAGTTCCTGAATCCAACCGCCGCATCATCTTCTTCTCTTTCACTTCCTCTTCCTCTTCCTGCTGACGTCGGTTTCTCTGAGACTGTGGCTCCGATCCCTGGAAGCAGCGCAGGAGGAGGGGTTATCTATAAGTGGTTTAATGAACTTTCTTAGAAGAAGTAAAATGTTTATTTAAAGTTTTTGGACCTCTGCATTCCCACAGTCCATATCTGTCAGTTTTATATGAAAAATAAACTTTAAACTATCTGAACGGGCGTCTATCCCTTTAGTCATGTTCAAAAAACAACTGAATTACTGACTGTTTGGTGTTTCTTTGAAGCGAATGGCGATCTGACCTTAAATAGTATTTTTGAACATGACTAAATGGATAGACGCCTGTTCAGGTAGTTTAAAGTTTATTTGTCATATAAAACTAAAGGGATAAACAGGAATAATGTGTATTGATTATGGGTATACTGGTCTGACGGGGTACGCTGATCATAACCGCCACATCGAGAGAGATCCCATTTATGAAGCTAAATTTCCACAGATTGAGCAAAATATCAAAAGTGTTTTTTTTTATGTAAAGGAAAGAATCACATTCCAGCCACAACATTTCACTGTTTTCATTGTGATTTTAATTCTTCTTCCCACTGTGCCCGCGTACTTGCCAAGGCTGGATTGAAGTGGTTTGACCTTCCCAACATGGCGGATCCAAACACAAACAGATGCTGACAGCAAAAGAAAAATAACTTTTAAATTAGTACTTTAATGTCTTTAAAATGTCTGAATTCTATCGTTCTTTTATGTTTTTAGTCTCAGTTGGTTTATTTTATTGGATTAAACCATAAATTGATCATAAATATGTCGGCAGCATGTTGGGATTAGTCCCATAATCTGAGTTTGATCAAAATCTAGATGTTTGACTGAAGGAGTCCTAGAACGGGACCCTGAAGAACCTCACATCATCTCTAATTTATATCAGGTTAGTTTTTCATTTTGCTCCGATTCACATCGAATATAATCTCAAGGTAGATTAGACGATTAATCCGACCATCCAGACCGTTTTCATTTAAGCTCAATAAATTAGAAACTTCACCAACCGTTTGCTCTATGATGCTGAAACGACCCAGCTGCCATTGGAAGATGGTCGCCGTGGAAACCAAGGTTTAAATGGATGATAGCTGAGCCTCATCCTGGTTTTAAGAGAGATCCAAGCTTAGATCTGATAAAACCCGACTTTAATCTGGATTAGGAAATTATTTCAGTTTGAATCCAAAGTTTTACTGAAGCTGGAATCCTTCAAGCTTTTGATTATTATCAGAGCGGGAAGAAGAAGAAGGTAATCAATAAAATTTATTATTTGTTTTAAAACAGAAACCAACCATGAAAAAATAAGATTTGTTTTATAGAATAATACATTAAAGCCTTTTTTAATTTCCACCATTAAATCAGATATGAAGAAAACAGATAAGGATTGTCTGAATTATTATTTTGGGTTTTTAATTAATAAACATTATCAGCTGTTGATCTAATATTAGATCATAAATCCTCTTTGATCTGATTTGATGATTTTTCAATTAAACGTTTATGTCGTTTTCTACAGTAAAAGTTAGTAAAATGTCCTGATTTAGTGGCTTTAAAGTCTGTCTGGGTGGGCGGGGCTGCTTTGATTGATGGCTGTTGGTTCTGCTTCATCATGAGGCTCCAGGTCAGCAGATGCTTCCTGCTGTCATGATGAACGTTTGCTTCAGTTTCCTCCTTTTCCTCCTGCTGGGTGCATCTTACTGCCGAGGCGTCTCCATCCCTCCCTAACCCTGACTTAGAAGGTCTGAGAAGGTTTGAGCTCAGACTGACCCCCCATGATGACCACCTGGACCCCCCCGCTGCCACTTCAGCTCCAACTGTTGGTTGTTATAACTTTATATCCAGGTTGGACGCCATATTAATGTTCTGAATAACTGTTATATTCTATTCTCAGCCAGAGTTTATATTTCTGATACTTTAGATGTTATGATTCCTTCCCTGATAGATGTGATAAATATCTTATTTAATCAGATATTATTCAGCTGTTATTTACTGTTTATGACACACAGTCCTACTAGCTGAATGTTAGAACAATAAATGAAAGAGTGATTGGAGCTCTAATCATGGTCAAACTGTTAATTCTGCACATTAATGGAATAAATTCACAACTTCTGTTCAAAATATAAGATTTTATTAACAAAATTCATGCAGCTCCACGTCAAACATATTTCAGTTCAAAACTCTCGACTAAGACTAGTAAAACTAAACTAAACCAAACTAAACTAACTACTATGTACAGAGAGGAAGAGAAACATGGCTGGAAACCAGATTACAGTTTAAAGTGGATTTAAAGTTTGAAACCAAAGTTAATCTGGAATAATTTGGGATCTGATCAAATTAGCTTTTCTCTAATTTAGAGAAATTTGACCAAAGTCATGGTGAACGGCTGAACATGACCAACAGACAGGAGACCCCCCCCCCCCCAAACAACATCGATCGCACTCGGAAAAGTTCATGGAAAACTCCAGACTTTCCCAGAGCAGCCCTCATTTCCCATTATCTAATCTAGAAACTACAGATCTACATATTTATGACCCAGACTCCCACTGTGGACAGAAAATAGGTTAGTTAGTTAGTTAGTTAGTTAGTTAGTTAGTTAGTTAGTTAGTTAGTCAGTTAGTTAGTTAGTTAGTTAGTTAGTTAGTTAGTTAGTTAGTTAGTTAGTTAGTTAGTTAGTTAGTTCTGCAGTGGCGTTCTTTCCCGCCTCTCCTTGTTGGGAAGCGGAGCAGAATTCCCACTAACTGAGGAAACATTCCTGCTCCTTTAACCTTCATGCTCAGACACGCTTCTGGAAGCAGCTAATTATCCAACGTTCAGCAGATCTCTGGAACAGAAACAAGCTCCGGTTCCTGGGAACGCCAGTCCAGGACTTGGATTCTTTCCATGATAAACGCACAGATAACTAAGCACCTGGTCAGCAGGTGTGAGAGGAAGGAGGACGGCTGCAGGCTGCCGCCATGATAAGGGCTGCAGATGACAGGCAGGCAGCAACAGCCTGATAAGCTGCAGACGCCAACATGTCCGGACTTGATCCCTGATTGGATGATGAAATGTTTCCCTTCTATGAACAAAATTCCTCTTTAGGAAAAAAGTTTCATCATGTTCAGGAAATTCATCTCGTCTTTAAGAAAAGGAATCTAGTGTTAGGATTTCTAGATGGAGAATATGAGGCAGGAAGGGCTGCGTTTGCACAACATGCGACCTGCTAATAATCAGAAACCTTTCTGGATTAGAACGGGCTTAAATAATCCAGACTGTCTCTAATCCACCGTTAACAAACGCAGGATGTTGAAATGATCCTTAGAGGAATTAAAAACAGTTTGAACAAGTTTGAAGCTCAACTTTTTAACTTAATAATTCATCGTTTGCTTCAGCATCTGTTTTATTTTAACTGTGTTTCTATCAGAAACGATCCATGTTTATTCCTCCAGTATAAATCCTGCTGTTTAAAAACACTTTTATAGAAGTTAGAGGATCAACTTCAGCTTTTTACTGCAGTAAATTTTAAAACTACTTAAAGTATAAAAGTCAAATTAATCCAGTAAAACTGTTAAAGCCAGAAGCTTTGCTGCTCTGATCTATTAAAGGAAAATTTTTCTATAATTCTGGATGAAAACTTCCTTAAACTTTATTTAGTTTTATAACTAATAACAGCGTCACATTTAACTTTGCATCATCTGGAAAAACTATTTTGGTCTGTGGTGAGCAACAGGTTGGGGCAGCACCGAGTCCAACCACAAAGAAATTAATTATCTGGATGAAACTAATTATTTTGATGTTTTTATTTTCTTTAAATTCCAAAAAGCCGTAATAAAAATGAGCTTAAATGAAACAAACTAAAGAGTTTATTTTTTAAAATGTGAGGAGTAGAAAGAAAAAGTTTAAAGAATAATTACTGCGGTAAAGTTTAGATTGATCATATTATTACTGTTCAACTAGGAATTTAGTTTAACGGCTTTTATTCTTTTTCATCTTTATTTCTTAAAATTGTTCTTAAATAATCTGAAATGTGAAATTATTGTATAAAAGATGCAATTTTCCTTTGAGAAAGATTCTTGGCTGCATTAAAAGTTTAAAACCCAGATTAATTTCTGGTTAATCTGCATATAATTCGGTTTTAATCCGTCCTGCTGAAGCCGGAATGTGGCTGAAAATCTAATTTAATTCAGAATTAAATATAGAAAAACAATGAATCCAAAACAGAATCTATAAAATCCGTCGATGTTCAGACGGTTCGTTGCTCTTCTTCCTCGTTCAAACCTTAAGGAGTTAAAAAGGTTAAAATAAGAGAATTAAAAGGATTCATGATGCATTTTTTATTGTAAAAAATGATGAAAAACAGAATTGATCAGGTGAGAAAAGAGGAAGACGGCGGCGGATCAGAGAACTTTTTAAAGTTTATTGTTTTTAAGCAGAATGAGGTGAAATTTCTATCTAATCTGTTAATCTGTCCACCTGTTAATCCCACATTCCTCCAATATGAAGAACAATTAGACAACTTAAACACTTCTGATCTCAGCTGTTTTTACGCGATTAAATAAACTTTAGAAAGTCTTTAGTTTTTATTCAGAACAATAAACCTAAAAGGAGCAGATTAGAGGTTTAAATTCAATAAATATTAAAAAACAACCAAAACATTGTTTTGTTGCTAGCTTAACACAGGAGAATAAAGTATAAAAAAATATAAAACATTTGCATTTAAAGCGTTTTGATCTTTAGAGGAATATTTTAAACATGTAAACAAAGAGCAGCAGGCGGTCTGCAGACGATAAACTGACGGTTTTACGTCTCTGTTCATTTCCAGCAGCAAACATCCTGATTGATGTTTTTAAAGGTTTATTTTCACAGGAGGACAAAAAAAAAAAAAGGTAGAAAATCTACAGCCTGTGCAGCTCCTGAGCAGAAAATAGCAGCATTATTGTTTCTAGAAGTTTTTCTACATCAGATCAAACATCTTTAATAAATAAACATTCAAACACCTCATCATGCATCTTAATGACCTTCAAATCACACTTTGGTACAAAAAAACTATCAAAAAATGTGTTCTTTCAGTGCTTTAGTGTCGGATCTTGGCCCAGACCATCAACGTAGAATCAAACAAACTAGAATGTGTAACGGTGAAAGTCTCAGTCCAGCCAGCAGCTTCTGGAACCGTGAGTTCCAGTAAAGTCTTTCCCTCCTGCGATCATAGAGGAGCCGGACAGCGGAGGTCGTCCAGGGTGGGCGCTGCTCCGTGGAGCGAGGAGCAGGAGGAGGAGGAGCAGGAGGAGGAGCAGGAGGAGGAGCAGGAGGCGAGGCTGGCGAGCTGCAGGGTGCTCTCTTTGATGTGCTGGATGAACAGGTTCCTCTCGTCTTCGGGCGTCTGGCCGTTCTGGGCGCGGACGATGCAGGTGGGCCGGTGCAGGTTCAGCATGTAGACCAGCTGCTGCTTCTGCTGCTTCAGCTCCTCGATCTGAGCCTTCAGCTCCGCGTTCACGCCCTCCAGCTTCTCCGACTCCTGCACACAGCGGGGGGGGGGGGGGCACACAGGCTTAGCGTCACGCTGACAGAGATCCATGCAGCTCAGAGTCATCACAAAAAAACTACGAAGTTTCTCTTCCAATCAGGAAGTTTTTAAATTCAAAATGTCAGAAATAGCCTCAAACGCAACGTAATTCTGACTGAATTCCCTGGATGGGAAGAGAAACGTCTCCAAACTTGGAACCAGAGGACTGATTTTGAAGTTTTTTGGAGGGAATCTAATCATCATTGTCAAACATCCGGGAGGATTTACCTTCTGCAGAGACTCGGTTTTCTCCTTCTTCTTGTTGCGACATTTCGCAGCAGCGATTTTGTTCCTTTCTCTCCTCCTCTTCCTCCTCTCGTGCTCCTCTGATGTCAGCTGAAGCAAACAGAAGATCCCGTCAGCGACGGCCAACATCCCAACATCCCAACATCCCAACATCCCAACATCCCAACATCCCAACCAAACCTAAATCTGTGGAGCTCACCTCTCGCTTGACCCCGGCCCGGTCCGAGCTGGAGCTGGCGCCGTCCGAGCTCACGTCCACGCTCAGCCCGCTGGACAGCCGCTTGGCGTGGATGGACGTCCGCAGCTCCTCCTTCACCAGGGGGGTGAAGCTGGTGAAGTCGTCCAGGGTGAGCGTCCCGGGGGGGGAGAGGCAGGGCACCAGAGCGGAGCAGCTGATGTCGGCCAGAGAGAGACCAGGATGCTGCAGCATCATTCTGCAGGAAACAGATGAAAGGAGATTATTAAAGGATGGAAAACAGAAGGTTTCCCTTTAAGGTGATGATGTCACTGCGTCTTTCTGCTGAGTAATGATGACATCATGTGTTCAGAGTAAACAAAGCTGCCATGAGTCTGTTCCTGGAATCCCACTCAGGAAAAACCAGGAATCACTTCCTGACAGCTGATCAGCGGCAGGAATCGACAGGCAGACCATCGGCTGCCATCATTTTACATCAAATATCTGTTAGAATCATTATGATCAAAAGTCAAAGAGCAAACAGCTGTTTATTCATCATCATAGAAATAGAACTGCTGTTATATAGATATTTCTACATAGATCTGCTCATATTTTCACTTTCATCACAATTTCTGCTCCAAAAAGTCTCCAAAATGAAAATATAATAAAAAGTAAAATGATAAAAGCAGTTAAATATGTTGTTCAATAATAACTGATTGCTCCCTCCGTCCCCCCTCCCCTACCTGTTGGTGTTCTGAGGTTCTGGTTCCGGTCCGGTTGAAGGAAAAGACTCGTTTCTCTGCGTCGCTTCGCGCTTCTGTCGCTCCGGTTGCATCACCTGCTGTATATAAGCCTCTAGGGGGCGGGGCCTGTGACGACATGGATCCTACTCACGATTCCAGGAGGGGGGAGGGGGGAGGGGGGGTGACATCATCCTATTTATAGCCGCTGATTGTGTGATGATGCAACCCAGCAACCCCGGGCTGATCTGCCATAACAGGAGCGGCTTCCCTCCCTCCTCCTCCCTCCTCCCTCCTCCTCCCTCCTCCTCCCTCCTCCCTCCCCTCCCTCCTCCCTTCCCAGTTAATCACTGGTTTTGGTTCCTTTTTCTTTGTTTTCCTTTCTTCCTTTTTTCAGATTTTTCATCTCAGAATTCAGAGAATAAAAAAAAGGAAATTCTGAGGTTTCCTGGTTTTCCAGGATCAATCTTTCCCAGTCCGGATCAAAGAGTTTGGTTCTAAACTAAAATGATGGATAATTAAACTCTGATGTTGAATCATCAGGAGGATCATCTGCTTCATAAACACTTTAGATAGAAAGATAATCTGAGTGGAAGAACCGATAATCCAGCTTCATCCAGGAAGTCTAGATATACAGGGGCGGATTTAGGAAATATGGGGCCCTAGGCAAAGACAGGCAGGGGGCCCTATGAATGTAGTCGCCAAAGTCTCCAGTAGCAGAAAAAGTCGCTAGATTTGGCACAAGGCCCTTTTCTGAAATGAAAGGAGCCTGAAAACTCACCACTCTTTGCATATTTTTTTTTTTCAAATGGTTTGCTGCTGTCCTCTTAGCCAAAGGATTTTTTATCAAAAAGATAATTAAAGTGCACAAGTAAGGAATAACTGCATTAACCATACATGTTAACAGAGTTTTATGGGGCCCCCAGGAACTTGGGGCCCTAGGCAACTGCCTAGTATTGCCTAATGGTAAATCCCCCCCGACTGTAGAACCAAGTTATGTAGAACCTTCCTCTGCTGTGAGCACAAACAACAGCAATACCAGTTCAGCCCCTCAATCTGAGGGCCCACTGTCTGAGGCCCCACAGTCTAAGGGGCCCCACTGTCTGAGGCCCCTCAGTCCGAGGCCCCTCAGTCTGAGGGCCCCACTGTCTGAGGGCCCTCAGTCCGAGGCCCCTCAGTCTGAGGGCCCCACTGTCTGAGGGCCCTCAGTTTCCTCCTCCTCCTTGGTTTCTGTTTTTCAGCTCACAGCTTCTGTTGCTCATCCAGAAACTTCCAGTTTCAGCAGAAGTGGAACCAGCTTTCGTTTTTCTCAGAACGGCGAGGCGTTCAGGGTTCAGAGGGAGAACCAGCTTTCGTTTTTCTCAGAACGGCGAGGCGTTCAGGGTTCAGAGGGAGAAGAAGCGATGAGCGAAGCGTTACTGGAATACGATGGAAGCTGCTGCTGTGGTTTCCAGGGAAGCCGGGTCGCATTCCGTCCCTTCCTGAAAACATTCCCCTCCCCGTCATAAATCCGGGATATCACGGCTCGGAACGCCGGCCGTAAAGGTTAATGATCTGCCGGACGGCGTTCACCTGTCCACGGTGACACCGTGATCTGGCGCCGTAGAGGGCAGATAAGACTTAGTGAACCAAACCGACTCAGAGGACGCCGCTTCTAAGCTGCTGGAGGACTGAAGGTCCCACCAGAGTCTGGAGGACTGAAGGTCCCACCAGAGTCTGGAGGACTGAAGGTCCCACCAGCGTCTGGAGGTTCTGATGAAGGAGAGAGAAAAAGCTCCTACAAAATAAAACCTCTAAAGATCCTTTTTCCTCTGAGTCCCCAAAATAAAATCCACTCAGGCCGTCCCGCCGCAGAAGATCCCAGATGTTCTGGTTCCTCAGAGGTTCACTTGGAAAAACCATCAGGAAGACCGAGGAACACGGATCAGGGAGGAGGTTCTAGGACAGATCATCTGGACATGGACGTCCACTTAGAAGAGGAGAGCATCAGTTAGGGAGGAGGAGGCTGTGGAGGAGCTGCAGAGGTCCATAGCTCAGGTGGAAGGATCTGTCCACAGAAGGAACATGAGAGAAGGTGACGCCCTCTGAGGAGACCAGCGCTGAACTTTGGGCCTTCAAAATAAAACATCTGGATGGAGAAAAAACTCACCTCAGTTTCCACATTTTTCCTGTGAAAAAGATAAATGCATGTTTTTCTTTTTCCCTTCATGGATCTAAAAACGACTCGGTTCTTTATGGTTCAGCAGGTTTAGGAAAATATGTGGTTTTTTTTTGCATTTTCTGTGATTTTTAGCATCATTCAGTCAAATTTTCTATATTTTGAAATCTGGACCGATCCTCTGACTCTTATCATGGACACGGTGCTCATCTGGCGAAATAAAAATATTCATTTGTTTATAAAAACAGCTCATTTGAAGCGGTGCGATCTGGAGAATGTAGAATAAAAGAGGCCCAATGATGGAGCCGTGGGGAACCTCAGATCCATGAAAACCAGTTAAACCAGAACGTTTCCTATTGGCTCCTCCAGACAGGAAGTCATCATCAAATCAGTTCTGATAAAAATCAGGCACAAAAAAAACATTATACTTCCTTATATTTATTAATGATCACAGAATATAAATATTTATTTATGATTAATAAAAAAATAAATAAAAATATTTATTTATGCTTTATTTGTTGTTTTGTGGCGCCTTTGATCTCCTCACAAGGCAGAAGTTTATTTCTAAAGGAGAT